GAGTCCCAGTTTGGGTTACCTGAGTAACAGGTTTTCACATTTATGCTGTTACTAAGTGAACCAACCAAACACAGATAAGCAAGCAAAAATGACTAAGTGTCCTTATATAGTCTTTATGAACTTATCAATAAAGATGGAGAAACTTAACATACAGGGTGTTTTACTGCCCTCTGTAAAAATAAAAAGTAAAGTTACCAAAGTGTACTACACTGGGAAAAAGTATTTTTGATTTCAACATCTTTGCTGAAAATAACAGGATTTCCAAAGGAAAGGAGATACTCATTTAATCCACAAGATGTACTATAGTGTATAACAAAACAATATTTGTGAAAATCTATTGCTCTGCAGAGGAAATATAGCACTATTAATTAAATTACTTCATGCTTCACCCCGATCCTCTCAATTGTCAACACTGCCCAACCTATTACTGTAAAAATAAAACCTAACACCACCTGTAAAACAATTAAAGTCACAGTCACAGCTTAAAGTCTAATAAAAATTGAACCAAAAACTAAAAAAGTTAATTATTCCAGGGCACCACATGTCTGTGTATAAAAGGACATTAAGGTATTATCAGGTCAGCTTACATTGTGAATTATAAATGATCTATAAGAAAAGATTATGTTCTTCCTTTGATTTAACCCACAACCCCTTTTAAAATATTTGGTGAACATTACTTTTTAAAATAGCTTAAGGCCAAGGAAAACAGGGGTAAAAGCTCTGCTCTTGTGAGGTTTAAAAGAAGGTCAAACAGCAGTGTCTGTATTTCAGGGGGGGGGCTTACTCAAGACACCAGAATGAAAATATTAAACGAAACAGATTTTCTTAGAATAATCTAAATAGTAATTGCATCTAAATGTCCGATCACCCCATTTGACTCCTTCACAATGAAGTTAGTGTGAGCATAGTTCTCTCAAGAGAATGAGCATTTATTTTGAATCTTCTTAGTGCAACACAATGCAACATAAAACTGCTCAATAAATAACAAGGGAGAGAGTTCAAAGTTCTGACTTGCTGAATCATTTGAACTTTTTATGACTTTGAAAAGTCAATTAACATAAAAGGCAAGGGCATACTGAACTCATACCAGCAACTCATTTTCTTTCCTAAACAGTGGGGAGCAATGCTGACAGGACTAAGGGCAATTTCTTGCAGATTGTTTTTTCCATAAGTTTAGCTCCCTGTTGAAATTTAACAGATTTTCATTAGAAACTGCTCATAAAGACTTCAGCATTTGCATTCTTTAAGGAGAAAGCTATTCCAAAGCCTCTTAAACTGCTGGTCTAATTATAAGAATGAAGCAAAAATAAACTTAAAAGGATTGCAGTTTAAGAAAAAAAATACCTTTGCTGAAAGCAAGAGCTTCAGGGATTCAGGGACACCCAATATTATACATGAGCAGTAATTGTATTTTTCCCTTGTCAAGTACGGACATTGCAGTGTAACCTTACACTTTAAGAAACCACAGAGCTTTCCTCTTATCAGTCAGTCTTGACTGTGTACCCAGCTGTATTAGTCTTCAAGTCTATACTACTTAGAGTAAACACCACAGGCCTTCAGAGAAGGCACTCGGAGAGCTCTCTGCAAGAATTGGCATGGATACCAAATTATTGGAAGGACAAAAAATTGATATATGACAAACAAGAAGAATAATAGTTCAGTATTCAGAGAGAAAAAAAACGTGATAGTGTTATATAAAAGACACATATAAAACAGCCCGTTTCCAACATCTGCTGTGTAATTGTCTGTAGGGAGTTTTCATCAGAAGATAAATAAAGACAATCATAATAATGAAAAAAATAATAAAGAAAAAGTTGCAAATAAAGAAAAGCCAAAATCATGGTACGATTGAAGACCGAACAACCTCAGTAATAAAAAATGGCTTTTCATGCAAGGAACTATAGTATTCTAGACATAAATCCTAAAGGCATAAATACAAGTACTGTATTAGTCTCTTTAAACCTCAAGATCTTAATGGTTTTTCTAAAACGGAAAATGTTTTCCTACCTGCTAACCTTCTGACTCTGTTATTTAAGATGTGGCTGACAAATGTTGAAAAATGGAATAAAGGACGCACGCACTAAGACACTCCAAAATTAGCCTCTACTCCCTAAAAAAGATTTTTTCTTTTTGCTAACCATTGCTTTAGTACACACAAAAACAATATTTTCTAAGTCCCAGGAGAGTGACTTTGTGTTGGCCATTTCACTGCAAATGGAAAGTAAGGTTTGAGCTACGTGCATATGTGAAATGTTTTGTTAACGAGGAATGCATTCCTGCCATCTTTAACACGCCATCTAAAATATTTACATTATTAAAGAGCATAGTGCTAAATGCACTAAACTCTGGCCTGTTTAGAAGAGTGTTCTATACAGCATAACAAAGTTCTAGAAGGCTTCTGAGAACATCTTAAAAAACAAATTAACCAACTCCTAAAACCTTTCTAACACTGTATAAGAAAGTTAAGGCAAAGCAATAATACATCATACTCATACATTTTTTTTTAAATTAAAGCACAGGTGGACCTCACAAGAAAACATGACTGCCTTTCTCAATCCAGTAACAATGTGGAATAGAAGGCCTAATATTATATTCACAGATTTGTGTATTAAATAAAACGGCTTCATGCTTCATGAGTTGTGCTGTACATTATTCATTAGACAAAAAACAAAATTGCATTTAATGTGAGAAGCTGCATCAGCCTCTCTTCTGTTCAAAGTTTTGATGGCATTGTGTTGAGTCACTATATAACATTTTTCCTTGACACCAGGCAGTTAGTATGACCCTGCAACTCACAACCGGCAACCCACTGAAGCTAAGCTGGTGTGAGCCTGGTCACTACCTGGAAGGGGGACCTCCTGGGGAAAAAACTGAGATTGCAGCTGGAAGTGATATTAGTGTGGCCAGTAGGGGGTGCTCATCCTGCAGTCTATGTGGGTCCTATTGCCCCAGTATAGTGATGGGGACACTATACTGTAAAAAAGTGCCATCCTTCAGATGAGACGTAAAACCCTACAATTATTATTAATTAAAAATGGTAAGAGATAACAATGTTGCAAGCATGTATGTTTTGTTGATTATGATGTATAATGTACTACAAAACCCTACTCTGTTAAAATCAAAAGTTATGAAAAGCTAAGGGACAAAGACATTTAAATATTGTACCTTTAGGGTGGACCAAGGTATGACTCAGCTGTTTGCTATGAGAAGTGTGAGGAAAAGAATGCTGAGATCAGGAAAGCACAGAAACCAGTCTGTGGAGCTCAGCCCTGTGTGAGCAATCAGATCTTTGTCTTTGTGTTCTATTCAGAAAGGCCTGTGATTGTACCAAGGTGGATATAGGTCAATGCTGAAACCACCAGTGAAGACTCATTCACATGAGTAAGGAAGTGCTTTGAGAAAGGAGTGCCAATAAATGGTTGGCATGCAAAAATATTCTCTGTTTGATGAGGAGGCTGGGATTCAACTAAATCTCTCTTCTTTTCAAGAATAATTAATGAGGTTTTGGAATTTTAAGTTGAATTACTTGTTGTAAAAACGGTGTACAACAAAGAACAAATGGTCATTTTATCTTTGTTAGTGATGACAGAACACATGCTATTTAATTTCATATTCCTCTCTCAAAGTGAATCAAACATCAGCTGATTATCAAAGATTCTTACTCTCAATAAAATTATTTACTATTTCACAGCGAAAATGTAAAACAGTTACATATTTATACCACTAAAACTTTATTAATTTTTACTGGAAGTCAAATATTCAAAGCCATTGCCTGTGATTTAACTTAACTTAAATATTTGTTCAATGTAGCACACAGTTCACTAACATCCATTTAACTACTGTATATGGAGTAAGTTATTTACTAGCAGTATAAAAGTAAATAATTTGGAGTAAGAAATTTGACAGCAAAATTTGCTACAGCAGTAATGCCATTAAAAAAAATGTATACTCAGATTTAAAATTCTTGATTAAGAAATGCACAATTAAGAGGACACAAAATGTCCACAAGGCTGTAGGTTAAATGAAAGTTAATTTGAAAACTTTCTGAAAGCTGTGAAAAATAAAAATGGTATATTGGGTCTTGTTTTCTACTTTTCATGTGGTATCATGAATTTGCTGAATGATTTAAAAGTAAATCCATTCTTACAGAGGGGTAATTTTTAGGTAAGCCAGGTGAAGTTCATACCTGTTGCAGTAGACTGATCACGCTGACAAAGGACAACAGGATGGGATACCATTAGGAAAAGCAGACAATGAATCTACTATAACATTGTAAAAATATAAAAGGCAATAAAGCTACTAACCATATAGTACAGTTTAAGGGAAGAGGATACCAATCAGAAAAAATAAAGAATTAAGAAAACAAAATATGATTTCACATCTAATTTCAAATTTGTTTACTGTATCCTTTTTAAACATTTTGGAACAAATACAACTAAATATTAAAGATGAAGCAGATGGATCTTGAGAAAGTGCTACACTTCCATACGTGGGCACTAAGACAGTGCATGAAAAAGATATGGAAAGTCGTGTATAGCTGCCTCCATGTTTTTACCTTCCGAACAACGTGAAAGGATAAATTACGTAGATAAGAAACTAATTCATGCAGCAAAAAAGAATCCTGTTTCTTGCTGTGCAATAACCGTCAATCATACATACTAGGAAAATAGTACCATACCCACAGTTCAGTAATAAGAACAAGGCCATTAGTAGCACACTGAGAGGTTTGGTATAAATAGAGGTTTACTATTACACAGCTGTAATTTATTTTGCTTTTCTAATTTGAGTATTCCATTCTGACTGGCAAATCGGGGGAAAAAACAACAACCGTGCCACTGATCAAGACACTAAATTTGTGCAGCCTGAGCTGTGCCCAGATTACCACCCCAAATAGGGCTCAGGGATATCGCTAATGAGGTTAATACAAAACAGCAGGTGCCTGTAACAGCCTCACTGTCCTCTGAGCACTGCATGGGTAAAACTAACAAGATGCATCTTACCTCTGAGCTGCTGTTGTTCTACTGTTAGAGATTCAATGTTGTAAGTGCAGAAGTCCAGATTCTCTAGTGCCTGAGCTCTGGCAGTCTCATCCTCCTCTTCATCAAGCATCGCCCCGAGCTCCTCCATGGTCTTGGTGTAGATCTCAATGTCTCTCTCCACCTCCTGAAGCCTGAGCAGGAGAGAATACTGGTCTTGCTCTGCCTCCAGGACACAGTCCCCATCCACCTGAGGAATTCCTCCATCATCAAAATCAGCTTCCTCTGGGATCTTAAAAGAGGTGTTGTCCTGGTGGATGGCACTGTCCTGGGGAGCACTCGAAGATCCTGCTTGGAACGGAGTGGAGTCCTGTGGAGTGCTCCTCCTTGGAGAGGGCTGAGGAGGGAGGGGAGCGGGCCGAGAAGGCCTGAATGCCAAGGAACTTTGGGAAGGCTGGCCTTCACCTGTAGGCTGAGGACCTTCCACCGAAGGTCTAGGAGACGACGGCGACCCCTGAGGTTTGAGTACCCGGGGCCTGGGTGGCGGGGGTCTCAGTGCTTTTCTTCTCTCTAGAGAAGAGCAGCCTTCCTGCTGACTCTTGGAAGTGGGGGAGCCTCTCATGATATCATTTTCACTGCTGTAATCCAGGATGGAAAAATGCCGGGATATTTTCTTGGAGTCTCTAGCCTTGTAGTCCGGAAGACTCTTCTCAAACTCGGCAAGCTGCTGAGACAGTTTGGAATCCAAATCCGGAGCTGAGCCTGCTAGGCACTCGAGCGTAAACGAGCTGGATAAGCCATTAGCCTCAGCCGTTTTGCAACCCACCTGCTGATCAATTCTGCATCCCGGTAACAAATCAGAGTCGGTAACACTCAACTGACGGACTTTATTTTTATGCTTCTTGTCTTGAGCACAACAGGATAAATCTTTGTAAGCTGCATTTTTGTTTGAAGTTTGAAGGACATTCAAATAACCACCATCTCTAGACCAATTATTATGCAAGTTTTCTGAATCTCTTTTTTTTGTTACTAAACTTAATGTTCTAGTAGCAGGGGCTGGGGGGGCCTCAGAACTGCTATCGGCAATCTTTTGGTCTACCACAGCATCTGGTATGTTGCTGTACCGTCTATTATTTAAAGAATGTAGACTTGGCCTTGGTGGAAGACGGGGTTTTGAAGGTGCAGAATTTGTTCTCGTAAGACCTCTGTGAGAAGGAGTTGGGTTCTGGATTGTACTTTGCTTTGCGTCTATGACCGTGTCTCCCCTGTTTATAGGAATCCCCTGAGAATTGCCCTTTGTTTGAGTTCCTTGAGGCTCATGGTTCAACTTTGAACTGGCGGGGGTAGATTTTACATCTGACAGTGCTTCTAGCCATGTCGTTTCTGAGCTAGTTTGATCTGATTTTTCTTCAAAGTAATCCAAATCCCATAACTGACTATTGTCTCCACTGTCTTCAGTTTTCCAGTCACAGTGGTTATCGATAGTGCAGGGAGAACAGACAAATTTGTTTTCCGTTTCTTGTCCGTACTCAGAGTTGGACTGTTGCTTTTTTGTTTCAGTGCTTTGATCTTCAACCTTTACAAACCTATGAGGAAATATTCCACGTCTGCCATTGACTGCCCCTTCAAGCCAGCCGTCTTCCAAAGTGTTGATAATGTGAATTTTGTCACCTACGTTAAAATCAAGCTCCCCAGATTCAAGGGCCCTAAAGTCATACAGAGCTATCCCATAAACCCCTGTGAATTCCTCAGTGTTTAATGGTGCCTCTTCAACACAGATGTCCTCCTCTTCATAAATGTCATAGTCATCCTGGCCCCCTTGGTCTTCTCCTGCTTGCAAAGGACCCAAAAGCTCCACAAATCCTTCAGGAAAAATCCCTCTCCTTCCCTCTAACTCTCCCTCAAACCACCCTGGTTCTGGAATTCCAACAATGATGATGATATCTCCCTCCATAAAGCCCAGCTCTTCATCCAGCTGTGCAGATAATCCCATCAGAGCCCTGGCTTGTCCTAGGGCATAACTGGGCAATTCAGACACTGACCTCTTGGACAGTTTGCGAGACCGGGAAGAGAGATGAAGCTCCTTCACACAAGACAAAGGGAAAACTCCCTTGGAGCCCCAACAATTTCTTCCTCTCAGCCAGTTAGAGTCCACAGTGTCCTCGCCAACTACTACGTCACCTAGAACAGATATAGAAGAATAATGTAAATGTTAATGTAGTACAGAAGGTCCTTCTATCAGGTGTGTGTAATGACGATGACATGCCAATATTTCAATATTTTTTGATTGCTTTGATGGCTCCATGTTATTTCATCTCATCCCAAAGAAAAAAGAATGGGATGACAACTGCATGGTTGCACAAAATTGTGATAAAGAGAACACACCACTGTCTGTACATCATGCAAAGTGCAGGCATTCAGATTGTAATCTGAACTAATATTACTTTCACGGTCTTGTTTTTCAATGTATGGTGAGCTCGTCGTTCAAGACTGCAGTGATTCATGCTAAAGATAACACAAAGTTAATACCTCTCTGCAGGAGGAGGTTCCCAGCACTGAGAGAACTGTAGTCATTGATGCAGACGTACAGTTTCTCCCCTCTTTTGGTGTTCGGTATTGTGACTGGCTCCACAAACGTGCTAGGAAACTGGCCTGACAGACATAATACAACATGTCAATAAAAGAACTATTAAACAATAATCTGACAAATTTTGAGACACTTGTATATAATCCATCACCAAAGACTGTTTATTTTAACACCTGTGTTGATAATCTTTTGCATACATTTGTAAGGACAAGAATTTGGAGTTAAAATAGTCTCCATCCTCAGTGCAGTGCACTGCATAAAAGAGACTTCGCCTTTAAAACCTGATATGGATCAGTTGGCTAAGCAATAGGAGTCCCTTGTTTATGCCTTACGCCAATTCAGTAACTTTATCAAACAAATCAAATCAAAGTAATTTAAGATTAATGCAATCTGGTATAAATGCGATTAAAGATGAGATTATGAAAAAAAACAGGTGTGGCTTTATCTGAACTGTAAACAAATAACCGGAAGTGCATTATAGGAATAATGCACTGAGACCTGCACAGCTATTATAAAATGGCTGTAACAGTTATACAGAGTGATAACATGACTTAAAGTGATCAAATAAATTTTATTATTTCATGACTATGTGTCTATAATAAAAACGCTTCCAGTCCATCCATCACAACCTAGTGATAATTCAGTTTTTACATTTGTGAGATCCATGTCAAGACGTTATATTGTTAGGAAAATATATTAAAAAAATTCAAGAGCTATTTGTACAATACAAAACTTCTACAGACAACGTGTGCAGTAACTTTACAGAATGGTCTTGAAAATACATCAACTTCTCAGAAAATCAGATATCAGATGCAAGTATACAAATCGTATGACAGACTAAATGTTTAAAGAATTTTTAAAGAAGAATTCAACAAGGGTCTGGCTCTTGAGCGTCAGCAGCCACACGGTACGCATGAAGCTGTATTCTGAGCAGTACCTGTGACGCCATCTTTGTTTCCGAGCAGCCAGAACTCATCCACCACACTGAGCACCTCGATGACGTCACCGGTGAAGAGGGGCAGCTCCTCAGATACACTGGGGCGGAACTCGAACACGGCACGCACCACAGAGCCCGGCTCCATCGCTCATCACCTGAGACACACGAAAGGAAACCATCAGACTTCCAGCCTCGTGAAGTTGCACCACATTACCTTGCTTTACTGGAGCCTTTCCACAGTACAATCATGGAGAAATACAGTGGGTGCACGCAACACAACACCAGACACAAACGCACCTCTGTATGGTATCTTGGAAAACCAGCAACATTGAGGTCCTGTGCACATCATGCTCATGCATCTGTGCCATGTATGCAGAAAGGTTACAAAGACATTGGAACTACAGTTTTTTTTATGAAGGCAATGGTCACCAATAACTAACTGTAAAACCCTGCTAGCACCCTTATACGTCTTAAACATTCAGCTCTTTGGCCAGTTTGACAGCATCATTTTTGCTGTGTTCTTTACGATGCTCCTTTTTCCAGTGGATTGGCAGGATCAAACACCCCACATCATACGTAATTTTTTTGGTTCTTTGACAGAAACAAATCTACATATACATACTAAGCACTGTCTCAGGTTTTCAGCAATTTAATAAAATAATGTACAAAATATGCATGGCAAGCAATTTCACTTCCATTTGTCATTTTTGTCCATTTGGCTTCTCCCATGAATCCTGTCTGAACTACATATAAAAATGGTAGGGGGGCATAAATAAGTAATAACCTATGAAAGAGAGCCTGAACATAAAGGGACACCCTCTACATTGGTCAGATGGCGCACTGACCTGAGTGTATGGTGATGTCAGGTGCACCTTCTTTTTTGTTCCACTAGGTGTCACTAGCCATCAGGAGACATCAAGACAAATATTCTTCTTGCGTTTAAACCGTAGGCTGTTTCCTTCATAAGGCTGTTTTCCAGCACTGATTTCCTCAGGCAGACATTTCCCAAGCCGAAAACACACAATTTTGCAATGTAAACTTTTAGCAGTGCAAAGGAAATTGGTAAAGGGTAAAGCCAAGAGTACAATGGAAATTAACCTCTCTCTAAATTGCATTCTCAGACGTCAAGGAAAGAGATCTCAGATTAGGCGTTGGTTTCATTTAAGGAAGGAAATTCTGAGAGCCAAGGAGAACTGTACAGCGAGTCACATCAATCATGGAAAAGGCAGACTCAGGGCATAATAGTAACAAAAGGGTAACTAACACCAACCTCTACATTCCTTTATAAGAAGTAAGAAACAGATTTAATCTAGATCTTGGATTACTCTACTGTTTTACTACACCTATAAATGCTTCCTACATGTCCCATTTGAAAGTGTTTTATGATCATTTGCCTAGATTAACAGGGTGTTTAATGAAGTTATAAACTCACTGATCTATTTAAACAAAAGTCAAGTGGTGAAAACTGTGCCCCTAGGAGCTGTATTATTTGGTAGATATTCCCATTGTCAACAACAGAACACAGCAGAGTGTTTGAGAGTATACAATCTTAAAAAATCAGGTAACAACGTGCACAAAGCTAATTCTTGATCATTGTACACTGTACATGTACTGCTCCAGGGTGCTGTACAATGGCAGACCCTGCGCTCTGGGCAGGCTCTCTCCCTATCTGTGTGTCTGTGTGTCTCATGGAGAGCAAGCTCGGGTATGCGAAAAGATCATTCCTAAGCCAAGAAATTGTAAAGGGTTAATAAAGTGATATTATTATTATTATTATTATTATTATTATTATTATTATTATTATTATAGGAACATGTAACTAATGATCCCATTTGTATGCACAGCATATCTCTTCACTCCTCAACGTACAGTTCACATTATACAGCTGTTTTAATAGGCCTATTTTTAAAGTGCATAGTACATTTTAAAAACGTTAGTCTCAGATTCAAGTCCTTAGAGTCATGTGGCCTAACATTTATAACAATTTACATACAGAGTACAGAATGTTCAAGGCCTAGTGATAAAATTGTATGCAACCATTGGAGCACATAAACAGTGGAGTGCTTGTTTAAAGAGAAAACACTGTGGCTTGTAACTATTTAAGACTTAAGTATTAAGTGCATGATTCGTTTATCTAACTTTCATCCAGACAGTTCACCAAAATGTATTTCCCTCTCCATCACAATACGTTTCAGAACTGTGAAATGTATAGCATTGTCCCAGGAGAAAGTTTGAAATTTTTGTGTGCCCTTTCTTATTCTGTGTCTGATCCCTAAGGCTTTTTGTTTCAGGCAAGACAGGTAATTCATGTCATAGCACGTTCACATGCAGAAAAGGAAATCACTTGGATCAACCCTGGAAATCTTCTGCAAGCAGAATTACAGACTGCTATCAACTGTGTGTCCCTCTTAATAAGAGTGGCTGGCTTTTTGTGTGCTACTTCAACATGGAATTTTAGTGCAGTAGTCAGGCTTTGCTACTTTTAGGTTCCTAATTATACGCCAGACTCATTCTTTTCTTTAGAATTGTTGAAACTGAACATTAGTCTTGAAAATCATAGGGTTTTTTTCAAACCTTCCCTAGGATGCTGTGTGCTGAGACTGGGTGTAACACAGGACAATTTACAATTCTGAATTTATAAAAAACAATGTCCCAACTTTTGTAAAATGTTCAAAGGCATTAATGTCTAATAACTAAAATGTCTAAATAAATGACAAAAATGACTCTTTTCTTCACCATTTGTGCTTGCACAATACACATTAATTTCTAGAGATCCCCATATAAAACCCAAGCAACTGAGTAATATCAAGTCATGATTAAGATCTAATTTATGCAATTAAAATTGCTTTAAGATAAGGAACAGAAGCAAACACAGTTAATAAAGAGACACTTTCTTTCCATAAAAGTAATAAAACAAAATTATGAAGGATCTTAATATTCTAGAATTACAACTTAAAGTTGGGCATGGTGTGGGAGAGCTTTGCCATTGTATTCTCTCCAATGCAGCACACATTGTAAGCAGTGTCCAAGGAAGTCCATTTCAATAGCAAGCAGTCTTATGGTGACCACAGGGTCTAGGAACACCAACAAAGAGGAGTAAGCAATTCCCAAACAGCCCATGCGAGAGGCCTCTCAGTTAATGACTCTCACCAGCCTTGCGGTTAGAGGAAGCCCACCCAGCTTTGCAGCTCAACACCCAGCTCTCCATTCATTGGCTACTGTACTTCCCATTCTGAAGCAGAAAATGTCAACACTCCCTTTGAATTCTAAAATGTAAGGTACTTTTTGTGACCAAGTCACAACAAAACAGTCGGGTATTTAAAAATCCACAATCATGCATTGTGGTAGCTGTCATGCCAAAGTCCGGTACAAAATAAATCTATTTTGTGGAACATGACAGCAAATATTACATGACTCAGATTTCACTCTGTCCGTTTTATTAAACATTCTTCACTAGAATAATTTACCTGGAATAATTACCTTCATTCTAGGAGTATTTTTTCCTTTTCCAGCAATTGTTTTTTTTAAACATGATGCAGTAAAATGATACACATACAGGTTTGTGATTTGTTAAAATGAAAGTAGTTTGCTCTTTTGAGGCTTGAGTTTATTTTTGCATTTGTTAAGGTATTCTGACTACTGCTCCTCTCTAAAAAAAATCATAGCAGAGATTGGTGGGGGATAGTATGGTACTGCAGATCCAAAACCGAATCGCTCAGACATAGTGGTATCACTCAGACAGTAGTTCAGGTGGGTAGCTGCGTCAGCATGTGTAGGCTGCAAAGGAACAAGTAATAGGTTTATTCCACGCTGAAAAAAAGAAGAAATAAAACATTTTGGCTTTTCACCTGAAGAAGGCTCCACGGCCGGAAAATTGTGTTTTCTTTCTTCTTTTTGTCAGCATGGAATATTACTTGTTCCATAGTGGTACAGTACACAGGTGCAACACTCACTATGCTTTTCTGATTTTGGCCAGCTGTAATTTCTGGCAAACATGAACATTTTATTTTTTGAGCTTAGACCCATTTACAGTGTGTTTGTTTGCATAGCTTCCCCAGAGTTAAATACAACAGGGCTTCAAACCAGCAGGCTTAATTCATATTGAGTACATTTTACTTATGCATCCAGCACTATACGGCAGCATATTAACCAGAAGGATGCAAATAAAAACCAAACTGGACCTTTTAAATGAAATATGAGAAAATAGAAATATTTGCATTCTGCAAAAATGCCTCTGGATTTAAAGGACATCATTATGGTTTCAACAATTCTTCGAGGTTATTGTCTGTCTAAATGACATTTGTAATCTATTGTGCGATGAAGAAATAAATTGTGGAAAGAAAAGAAAACTGCTTTCTTCTGCAAAAACAAAATCCAATACTATAAAGCTTGCTGGAGTGAAGGAAATTTGGCTGGGATGATGCAGGCAGGCAGTATTTTCCTGTCTGGAGTTTGTTGTTTTGTCTCTTTGCCCAGGCATAGCACCACTTGCCCTAGCAGTGCATGAGGGCTTTGGACAACATGGCTCTCCCTGTAATGAATTTGACACTTGTACTGGAGAACCGGCCACAGTGGCTTGTGGGAACAGCTTGTCGGCTTTAGCACATGAAACAAACATGCTGTAAAATCGAAAGGAAATCACCCCACAAACCAGGCATGGTATGAAAATCTAGACTCTCATGACCTCCCTGTAGATCCTGACTGACACTCTTCTTTTTCACAGATAGGGATGTATATTAAGGATCTGTGCTGCTCTGTCATGACCAACTATTTTTAATTAACCATTTTATAGGCACTCAAAATAAGTAAAATAAGCACATGAGAAAGCCTTAAAATATGGGAACTGAATTAAAATGTGGGACGCTAAAGTATATATTTAATGTCTACGCTGTCTCTGTTTTAACAACACACTAAATGCTACAGTACATGTCCTGTATTTCAGCTTGGTACCAGAGCAACACTATATTCAAATAAAAATGAAATGATCCCTTTATTATTGTTGGAATTTTATTATTTGTCATGAAATTATAAAATGTTATTATTTTAAAGGACTTTATATTCTTTATTTACAATGTTCAAGCACTTCAAGAAAAAAATATTTTATTACTGTTTAAATTGCTACAGAAAAGTAAAAGAAAAAAGAAAATGAGACTCA